GTTAAATGTGTAAAAGAAAAGTTTAAAAACATAAAAGAATCGGAACGGTGAGTACAGCACTTACTTTCACAACGCGGCGGTGGGCCATTCCAGCGCTCATCGAAGTCGCAGGTCAGTACTGCACGTCCAATCATCTCAAAGCCCTTAGCGCATGAATATTTCACTACGCTGAGATAGCCCACAGTACCATTGATGAGGTCATATGAGCCATGTAGAATAGAAGCAGGCAGTCCACATTCGATATCTATGAAAGGAAAATGATTTTAGTCTACGACGACAGCACAGCTCAACTCTCATTTACTTACATTTACAAACCGGTGGGAATTCATTATAGAAACCAGTCTCCAAGCACGTACGTGTCGCTGGACCCACAAGCAAATGATTAGCATCGCAGGAATAGTTGATCTGTGCGCCCACTTCGAAGCCGTTTAGTGCCAGCATAGTCGAGTTTGGCGGTTGCTCAGGACGACCGCAGGTCTTTGGTTGATGTTGACAAATGAAATTCAGTAGCGTATTGCAGTTGGTGTCACTCCAGAGCCAACCCTTCGAGCCGTCAAAACGCGCGCAGTCTTCATCGCCACCCGGATGATTCCAGAAAGATACCGCCACCTCTTCGCCATTCACCCACTTCCAGGTATTGCGATCTGTGCCATCGCGTACAGCGCCCATCCAATATTGTGAGCTAATGTCAGTGCGATGCCGACGCCATAGTTCCCAACTAATGAAGCCCTGCAACGCAGGATTGCTTTCGCTGATGAGTGTGCCGCCGCGAGAGCGACAAAATGAGAGCGCATCGAGGAAGTTTAGGGGCTGGCGGTTATAGAAAATGTAACACTTGCCATTGTAGGAGGCCAGCGCACCGGGTGGCTGATCGCGGAACGTGGGACAACGTTCGATGGGCAAAGCTTGATCGGTGTAGACGAAGGCTTCACAAATGGACAGTTGATTTGGTATATTCGTCTCTAAGTGCACGGAGACAAATGCACCAGGCATTGGGGGGTTGCAGGGCAGAAACAGTGGTTGACCCTCTTCGAGTAGACCAGTGAAACGATTGCAAATCGGATTGGTGCCCAGATCAGGGCGGTTATTACCGACGCGCACAACAATGGTAGCCGGTTT